CATTCGATGTATTCACGTAGTGTAGCATCTACAACACCATCGACTCATATAGCTCAATCTATACATAATTGGACCGGGATTTAAATGCCGAGTCAATCTCACGATGCTGCAATTCAGACTTCCACTTTGTGATTGCACTATCCTAGTGGGGAAATAGAAAAGGGGAAAACAAATTATTAATTTAAAATATGAAAAATAATTTTATTGGTATAAATATATTAATAAAAACTTGAGTCAAGTTTGATGACCTCAAGTTAGAGAAAAAAGTGACACTTAAAAATGAACTCGAGACCAAGCTTTATGTCGAATCGATTCTAACTCATTTACACAGTTATTCTAGCTTCCTCCTACGGTATTTGATATACATGCAGGGGCGAGCCCACTCAAGAGTTATGCTGAATTCAAGCCCCCCTCGTTTCTAATTTTTTTTCTCCTGGTGTATCTTTTTAGCCCACTCAATTATATCATTGAAGCTCACTTATTCAAAGCCCCATCACCTCTCACTCGTCCTTCATTTTCTGTTTTCCAACTCCGTTCACATTCCATTAAAAAAAAAAAAAAAATTGTTCTCTGGCATAGTTGGAGGTCTACAACCATTGCTCGTAGGAAATTATCACCCACCGACGATCGATTAAGGTTTAATTTTACGTCTTCTCACTCATCTTAAATTTCAGGCTGAATATCAATTAGAAGTCGATTGTGTAATTTTGATAATCAACTTGATATTCATGTTTCTTGAATTTTCATAGTAATTGAGCTTTTGCGATTGCCTTAGTATTTTATCTTCTAAAAGTGGAGAAAAATATCTTCTTCTTTTTTTCAGGGAGGCTGCTCCAGAACACCCAACATGCTTAAGCCCACCCTCTCAAAGATTCTGGACTCTGCCAGTGTGTACACGTGATTAATGTTATAATGTTATGGGACTCCGCCAAATAATAACTTATTGATGACCAAATAATTATTGGCTGACAGCACAGCTAAAAGGATGATTTAATGTAATTAAGCTCGATTTAAATCTACAATAATACAGAGTGCACTTAAATCTTAATCCTATAATATGATCCAAATTGAAGATCGATATATATAATCAGAGCATGTGGTGGACAGCCTAATTATTCTTGACAAACTGATGATACCACATAATCCCACGTCACGGTAGATTAAAATAAACATATTACTCATGAAATTAATATTCCAAGCTTATCTATCCACTGAACCAAACCCATCAAGTTTCTTTTATTAATTGAGAGAGAGAGAGAGAGAGAGAGAGAGAGAGAGAGAGAGAGAGAGAAGAGAGAGAGATGATTGATTCTGCATTCCCAATCCACCACTTCAACCAATCACCATGTTTTCTGCAATAAAACAGAATAAATAAAAAAATAGTTGCAGAAAGGATTCCCCCTCAGCACGTGGTGCATTGTATGAAGATGAGGGCACATTTTCCCTTTATCCTAACCTCACTAGTACAACACTACTATTTTAAACAACCTGCTTAATTTTACTTATTATACCTCTGACATGCATAAATAATAATCTTTTAATTCATAACATATATTTTATTATTATGATCACACAATATTGAATATTGTCACTTTGAATGTAACTAGTTCATAAAAAAACTTCTGCGCCTACTAAATGGTGCGTTGTATTTATCAAGTATCTTTATTCTAACATCATAAAAATGTCAAGTTACGATCTTAACAACTAGCGTTCGTTTTTGTTGAGTTTTTTTACAAATTGTTGTACGTACCCCGTACTGAATGATTAAGTAGGTGGGGTAAGAGAGCGCCACGTCGATAGACTGAATTTGAATAATATTGCAGCGATTTCAATTTTAGGTCGCACTTATCACGTATGTTGCGGGAAGGGATAATAATATTATATGAAAGATCTGAGTTATATATCCACCCAATTCTATAGGCTATGGATATGAGAACATTGAATTATGGAATGTGGGACAACATTTTGGAGCATAGTATTAAATTGGTTAAGAGTACAAATTTGCTACATATTCCATTATTGAGACAGCATTTCAAAGGGAGAGAGATGAATGTCAGAGAAATGTGGGTTTTAATTAATAATGAGGGGTGGCATCTATTACTGTTTTCTTTCACGCTTAAACCAAAACTTTTGAATAGTTTTAACGAACGATGGTTTTCAGTCAAATCTGCAGCATTTAACATTGTTCGAGTCATTTAGTAGGCTCCATTTGTCGGTATTTTCGTACCTCCCGATAGACTAACTTAGGAGGCGTTTGCAAAAGATTATTTAAGAGTAGAAGTTTGTGAGATAAATTGAGATTAAATGCTAATTTAATTCCTAGGGTAAATTACAACCATACCCTGAGATATGCTTAAATAACTTTAAGTTCCTTATAGTATCGATAATTACACTCACTCCCCTGAAACGTAGTTAAAAGCTCTAATGGGATAATGCATTGGATACATTATTCCGATAAGGTTCTAACAGACTAATACTTTTTGCTAGTGGTGGAGACAACATAGAGTTATGGAGTGACATGGCTCCCATAACATTTCTTAAATCACCCATAGATAGCTCTTTGTTGTCTCAACCACTTCCTGAAATCAATAGTCCGTTAGAAATCTATCGGAATAACGTATCTCATGCATTTTCCCATTAGAGTTTCTAACTATGTTTCAGGGGGCGAGTGTAATTATCGATATCACATGGACCTTAAAGTTATTTAAGCATACTACATGGGTGTGAGTGTAATGTACCCTAATTTCTAAAAGTCAGGGGTGTTTGCATATTAGCTGAAAAAATCAACTAATAAAACAGGTGCATGGGTGATTTTAAAATTATAACTTAAAACAACTTATTTTAAAAGAAGCACAAGCAAAAATTTGTTTTGTAAATACCGAAAAACAAATTATGTACAGAAAAAAAAACTAATAATCTATTTTTAAAAGCTTAGGTAAATACCACCTAATCTAGGACTAAGCCAAACTTCTTTGAAAAGAAGAAAAGTTTTTTTTTTCATAACAATTGAGTACTATTTAGGTGGTTCATTAATCCATAATACTAATTTATTATAATTTATCTCTCGAGCGTTATTAGATCTACCCAAATATAATGACGTGTCAATTAAAGGTCATAAATTCGTCTTGAAAACAATAACCATAAACTTCGTTTTTGAAACTTCTAACAAGGAATCATCTCTCGAATTCATTATAATCTACGAATATATTCAATTGCTTGTCATGCAATAGAAATCAAATAATTAAGCTCTTTCGACTACTTATCCTCAGAGCCATCTCGTTCGATATTTATTTGATATTGTCTTGCATTTCTTGCTAGATCTCCGATATAATCTGATATACCTAAATGGGCCGGCCCAATGGGCCCTCAAATATATCTACTAATTAGGCCCATTACACGAAAGCCCATATACCTTCAAAGTAAGGCTTGAGCCCAAAAAAGTAAGCCCAACCCAATCACCGATATATAAATAGGTGTTTTACTCATTTGTAAAGGTACGTTCTAATTATTGGCAATCCATCTCGAGTTTTATTCTCTCTACTCTCTCTACGACCCGTACATCTGACTTGAGCGCGGAGGGGTTTCCGCCGGATCAACCCCCGGCTTAGTTCACGTGTGCTCTTTTCGCAGGGACCTCAGGATCATCAAGTTGTCGAACTACTGATCCGCTTTGCTCTCCCAGTTCATTTTCTACACCACCCTAGGTGAGCTATATTTTAGCATCATCATAATCCAAGACAACAAACAAAACTATACAGATAAAATAAAATCAAAACAAAGGACAAACACACATATAAGTCGGATAAATAATAATATGCAATGTTACCACTTACAAGTATTAAGTAATACAGTGAGTAAAATTTAAAGGCAAAAAATTATGTATATTACAAATAGTCCCCATTTGATTTTCTTTCTGTGGATTTTAACCATATGTAAAACCAGCAAAAGAAGAGTATTATTTGATATGTTTTAAGTGAAAATATCGAAATTATCCTTTTTTGCAGAAATATATAATTTTTTATCTATATATCATTATCAATTCGTTCAATTTTACATTAATCAGACCATCACTATCAACTATATATTTAATGCAGTGTACTATTTTCGAACCATGCACGTCACTGTAATAATGTAATTGAGACAATCACTTACAAAATTATTATATTTAAAGTAAATCCTCCAACTACCTACATTAATCACTTGATCTGTTTCATAATATTTGTTATTTTTAATAAAAAAAATCTTCATGTAATCTGTTACTTTAGATAATTATATAATCAATTTATTCATCCATACCTATATAGCCATCCATATATAGTTTAATCTCCCAATACAAACTATCACGAAAACAAAATTTCTACAGAAATACTAAAAATGAGAAATAGCAATAATAAAACCGCCATATAAGTAGAATAAGAGGAATTAAGAAAAAGTCCCAGCTGAGAAATTGACTTAATTCCACATTGCACCCTTCATTTTATGTTATTAGCATTTGTACGCTAAATATAACAAATCATTCAAAATACATCCCATATTGATTTTTTTAGTTAACGAGGGTAGCATAATCTTTTTAGTGATATTTTTGGAGGTGCAAATATCAAATAAAAAGGGTAAATTACACATACACTTCTGAGATATGTTAAAATAACTTTAAGGTCCATGTGGTATTGATAATTACAGTCACACCCCTGAAATAATTATCTGAGTCAAGGTTTTTTTTTCCGCCCGGATCGTTAAATGCTACCATAGACAAAAATTTATAAATATTATATTAAATAATAAGAATTTGAGAAATGTTAGGAGAATCATGTCACATTAGCTCTATGTTGACTCCACCATTGGCTCGAACTAATAGTCTGTTAGAATAATAATGGAATAAAATATCCAATGAATTATTCCACTAGGATTTCTAACAATATTTCAGGGGTGATTGTAATTATCGATACTATAGGGACCTTAAAGTTATTTTAGCATAACTTAGGGGTGTATGTGTAATTAACCCAATAGAAAAAAGAAAAAAAACTCGGTGTATATTGTATAAGTTGTACCGAGAGTGAGTGCAGCCAAGTCGGCAAGAAGTAAAAGTAACTGGTGCGTGAGTTTAGCGAAACCCTAGTCCCACTTTTCACATCCTTTAAAACAGAGAAAGCGGGAGTTATTAGCAGTAAAAGCAAAAGTTTAGAAATAGAGAGAGAGAGAGGAGAGAGAGAGCTGAACCGAAATGTGACGTTAACTTCAGTGAACAGTGCGCGCGTGTGTTTGTGTGTGTGTGTGTTGGGGAGAGTGAAAGAGCTACCGGGAAGTGACGCGAGCAACCGGAAATGACAACAGGTTTCGTCAAAGAGCAGAATCTGGAGATCCAGATTCAAAGACAAATGGGTTGTATGGCTGGTTTTCTTCAAATATTCGATCGCCATCACATTTTGACCGGAAAACGCTTCTATTCCACCAAGCGCCTCCCTCCACCACCAGTACGATTCCCTCCCTATTTACATTTTCTATTCTATCATATATCTAATTAAATTGTTTTCATTCTTATTCATACCTAACATTTTACTATTATTGTAGCTGGTTGATACAACAACTTCTGAGTCGGAGAAATCAGCTCCACAATCGCCGCCGAATCCGACCGATTCTCGTAAGCCACTAGAAAAGTCAAAGCAGACTCCGGCGGCGGCGGCTGAGTTGCCGCCTAAACCACCTCTTCCTCTGCCGATATTCGAATTGAAATCAGGCACTAAGTCGTCGTCGTCCTGGAAGTTCAGCAAGGAAGCCCCAAGGCTGTCGCTCGACAGCAGGGCTACAACCGACGCAAAAGGAGGCCTCCACCCCAAACAGATCCGAACTACCACCTCCGCCGCCGCCGTGGCGTCAAACGGAGGGAACAGTATTGCAAGTGCCGCCGCAGATGTTGATCAACAACAACACCGATCTACAAGTGTTATCGCCAGGCTCATGGGCCTCGACCCGTACCCAAATTCATCCGATTCCGAACCGGAGAAGAAGCCCGAGCTCCGGCGATCCGCATCGGAATCGAGAGTCTCGAAGGATCTGTTCCAATCTCGATTCATCACCGACGGCGGCAACTTTTATTCCAAGCAGCAAACTCAATCGCATTCCTCACATACTCCGCCAACAGACGCACATTTTGCAGATCCAAACAACCAGTCGATAAAAAAAGCGCCGGAAGGATTGCACAGAGGTCGCCTTAATTCTACACCACCGTGGAAAGCTCCGCCGCAGCAGAGGAAAAACTTCTTCGATTCCGGTGACGTCTTCCCGGAGCCGAAGCAGACTGTATCAACAATATCGATCTACGGTGAGATTGAGAAGAGAATCAAGGTGAGAGGAATCGACGAAACGTCAAAGGATTTAGAGACGTTGAAACAAATCCTTGAAGCTCTGCAACTCAAAGGACTACTGCATCCCAAACAACCGCCGCCGCAGCAAAACGAAGCCGTCCGCCGCCACCGGAACTTTGTGTACGACGAGTCGCCCATCGTCCTAATGAAACCTATCAGATCGTCGGATCCGAACGGTAGAAATCAAGTTCGCCGGAATTACAGCCTCGCCGGAGAAACCTCGCCGTCGGTGAGTCCCATGCGAGAACGAAACGTAAGGAGCCCGACACGTGGCGGCGGTCGAGGCCCAGGCACAGGCCCGAGCCCGATAACACGGTCAAACTCGCCGGTCAAACCCAGGCAATTGAGCGTCGAAACTCAGAGAAAAGCCTCACCTGTTCACTCACCGAAGAGAAGAGCCGTACCGGATCCGACGGCCACAAATCAATCGCAAAGGAGGAAGAAACCGACGTCCCAGATTCGCCAGAAAGATGATGAATCTTCATCCATTTCTGGAAGCAGCATCACTACGGTGTCTACAGACACGGAGGTACGTATACGTACACATAACATACGACGGCGTTTAGGGTTTTTAATTAAACTCCCATTTAATTTCTAATTAAACCGTTTTAATTAATTAATATATAAAAATTGGGGAAAATAAAATACAGAGGTCGAAGGGGGATGAACACAAAGAAGGGAGGAATATACTGGAGAGGTGCGATAAGCTGCTACGCAGCATAGCCGAGATGTCTGCAGCCGCCGATATGCAGCCGAGCCCCGTGTCAGTTCTTGATTCGTCCTTCTACAAGGACGACTCCTTAACCCCTTCCCCAGTTACAACCAAACGTAATCTCGATTTCACAGGTACACAATTATTTTATTTTATTATTATTTTTTAATTTATTGAATAAATTAGTTATTAATATGTCACATCACAGTCGGTTTTAAATGAATCGGTTGAGAAGGAAAAAATTAGGTCCGAGGATCAAAGTTTGACTTGGGGCTAAAAATAAGCTAGAGATTTTTCCGTAGTAGTAGTTATTGTTGTGGTATAATTTGTGAAAGTATAGTAGTAGTAGTATTAATTAAATGTAGGGATTGGATTAAATAATTGGATTGATTTGATTGGAGGAGAAGTGGTGGGATGGATGTTGTTGGGAAATGTGTCATGTGAGAAAAAAAGTCACGTGGGAGGTGGGGCCCACTCCCCTAGAGAATGGGGAATTGTACTTGCCGTCGGCATCATGACGATTACGTTGTATTGAAAGGTCAATGTTCCTCGGTGTAGCTGCTGATGCTATAATTGTGACTGGTTTCACAGTGTTGATGGGTGGGGTTCTTGAAATTGTTCATTTATTATTTTATTTTAAAGTATTAAATACACTACATTTGTTAGGAATAGAGTGAAATAGACATCACCATGGTTTCCAAGATTGCATTGTGAATTATTTATTCCTGAATCGTAATATATTGACGGTAACCGGTTTGGGAACTTGGTGGTTGTCAAGATAATGTAGCCTGTTGGTAAACACCTGCCACCTAAGATCATTTGGTTATAGGTTCGAGACATCAGAACGGGAATTGGAGAACCAGTAACTATCCTTCAAACACCTTGCACCTAAGATCATTTGGTTATAGGTTCGAGACATCAGGACGGAAATTGGAGAACCAGTAACTATCCTTCTTTAAAAAAAATAAAAAATTGGCTGTTCAAAAACAATTCATGGACCCGACTCCGATATGATATGACCCCATTCCTAGGCTAAACCGTCTTAACGTATTTTTGAGAAACCACGAGAATAATTGAATGTTTGAACTGCCGGTTCATGGGTCGAAGTGGCCCGTAATTGTCTGGAGTGCAACATGAGTACAACTGTTTATTGACTTCCAACAGTTTAGTTAGTTAGCGTTGGAAGAATTTTAAATGAATCGCGATGCATCGAATAATTTACATTATTTTGTTATGCATCACATTTCGTTATGCTTGTGAATAAAATTACTGCAACATTCATTTGATTTTACATCTGATAACAACAGATCAGCCCGGTGAATTGGAAGAAGAAACATGGAGCCCCGTTGTTTCGCCCATTCACACAAAATGGGTAGAAACATCAGATGACCGCGAATTCGCGTACATCTCAGACATCCTGAGAGCATCTTCTCATCATCATCATCATCTCCAAGATGAGTCCGACGTTTTCCTATTACTCGAGAAGCAACAGTTTCTCAAGGGAAACCACGACACTTGCAAAGCTTCCACGCTCCAGAGGAAGCTGATTTTCGACGCGATCAGTGAAATTACGGGTAGGGACAAGCAATTGCCACCTTGGAACAAGTGTGCGACAGTGCCATCACTCGACAAAGTATGGTCCGAATTTCAAACAATTAGAGAACGACCCGAAAAGACCGGTGAAGATTTGTTTGAGACCGTTTGTGGTGTGCTTAAAAGAGACCTGGCCATCACTGCATGGGGAGATTTCCCCATCGAGATGTCGGAGGGCGTTTTGGACATTGAAAGGCTTATATTCAAGGATTTGATAGGCGAGATCATTGGGGATTTGGCAGTGTTGGCGGCTGCTAGCGGCATGCTATCCTCGGCGATGCCTATGAGGAGGAAGTTGGTTTTCTGAAATACGAATTAATCTTGTGTTTAAGATGACCTTGTGCTTGGTTCATGTGAAAAAATAACAGGTGTTAACTTTATTGTTTGATATTTTCAGTTTTTAATTAAAGTTGGTTGTTGTAGAACATATGCAGATAAACCTCTCTGAATTAATATAGTTGGAACTAACAAAAATTAATTAATTTAGTAGAATATTAAATTATCGACTTAATAATTTAGCACGTCGTCACCGAGTTCGGATCAGGATAAATTATTATTTAAGCTAATTTAAGCGATGTTATTAATTTATCGAAATTCTATATATTTGAGATCTCTAATGGTTAGGGGTGAAAATCTGAATGAAAATTTTGAATTCCGTCCATTCCGATCCGAAAATATTCGAATTTGGAATCGTATTTTTCATTCGGATTTCTGAAGTTCCCGATTTTGCGAATTTATTTGGAACGGAATTGGAATGATACATAAAATTACCTAAAATTTCGATTTCCGATCTAATTTTAATTCCGAATATTTCTATGATTTTTTCGAAATATGTAATATGATTTTATGATATATTTTGTAATTACATAATATAACTTATGTATTTATATGAAAAGTATATACCGAATGATTAAGTTAATTAAAACCTTAAAAAAATTAATTGGAATCAGAAACTTTATGTTGCATTTTTTCTTACAAGAAAATCTATATTTCAATTTGTTGTTCCTACATGTGTTTTTATCTGTTGCGTACTGTCGTCGAACTCTTCTTTTGGTTTTCTTGCACTTTCTTGCAAAAAAAAAAAAAAAAAAAAAAAGAAAAATATTGTGAAAATATGCACTATCCGAATTTAGAACAAGAAATTTTAAACTAATGTAATTTTCAAAATTACACCGATTCCGATGCATTCCAAAATTGAAATCTATTTTAGCATCCCAATTTTCTTGGAACGGAAATTAGAACATATTTTTTACTTCCGTAAAAAATCTGAAATCTTGCGAAAAAACCATTTTCGATCCATTTCGTCTGATTCTCACCCCTACTAATGGTCCTTTTTTTTTTTTTACTTTTGAGAAGCTGTTAAAAAAGGGAGGGAAATAACAAAAAAGAAAATCTAAGATCCAAGTAACTCCTCTTTTTGTTTTCTAAGGGCTGCGTGTGTGATATATGTAATTTCTTGTTTGCCATGTGATTTAATTGGGATTTGAGGGAACACGAGAGAACAAGGAATAAAGGGAAAAGGCCAAAGCTTCAAGCAATAATCATCATGTGCATATTGTAGGATTGAGCCACCGGGTGGTCAAAATGCAGTACAATAATGACCATGTATGCTACTTTAATTTACTATCCGGACTCAAAAGTCTAGATTTTGATACGGTTTAAACATAGATTGTGCAATAAGAGCCGCTACCACGTGTCTGAGGTAGTCGAGTGGGTAAAAACTGTTCGTTAACCTATAAAACAGTTTTCTCCTCAAATGCTCAAGTCAAAAAATATTGTTTAGTATTAGCAATTTTTTATTTATTTTGAACTTACTAAATACATCAGGTTGTTTTGCACCATAAATCTACATAAATAATCAGTACAAATACACATGGATATGTGTGTGCTTATATGCAGATTAATGGTACAAAATTACCCATTACATTTTATCAGGTATAAAATTTACAAGACCAGTGAAATAAAAGGTAGAATTATTGTGAGAATTCATCGTGGGACAAAGAGATTTCATGTTTTCCATGTAGGAAGTTCTTTTTATTAAAGTCCAGCTAGACACATCATTAAATACTCACTCTCAAATAAAGTTACACGCATGTGGCTCCACGATTCCACCATGAGGTTAGGTCTAATTGTATACAGACCTTTCGTATTTCTGAAATATTATCATTACCTACCTTAATGTTTAATTTTAGGAAAAATTTGACAAAAGTCCTCCATTATACAAGTATCATTATAATGAACTCAATTTTATTTTACATTTTTAAGATAAATTTAAACAACTTTTATTAATTAAAACACTTAATGATCACACTCTATCTCTTAATATATGCCCCCCCCCCCCCCCAACCTCTCCTCTCTATCTCTCTCTCTCTCTCTCTCTCACTAACAAAAAGGGTTTCCCCATTCCAACTACCCTTGGCACAACAAAAATCTCTGGA